TGACTTTGATTTGATAATTATTTTAAAGAATATGCATTATGGTTAAATTTAAAAATATTATTATAACATCAAGTATGTTGGCGATAATTCAAATAACTAAACTTACATATTTAATATTATTATCTAATATTTAATCATATTAGCCATTTGAAATCAATCATTATGCACAAGTTATCATCACTCGAGTTATTAACTTCCATTTTATCAAAAACGGTAAATAATATTTTACTGTACGTAAATGCCGTTATTAAGCGATAATACAATATGGTTGATTGGTTTGACAGTTTCTATCTTTAAATCTCGAAAGACACTTAAAATAATTGTAGTAGTTATCTTATTTATGCACAGCAAATAATCCAATATAAGAATTCAAACTAGATTTACCAAATGAATAAAGAAAGCAACAGTAGGCTTATTATCACATTTGAGTTTCATAAAATTAATGTGTTATAAATAAGATTTTACAAAGTTGACGCAATTGAATAATTTACTTACTCTGTATAATATATGCTCTATACTTTAAATAAATATTGAATACGATTCTTGCATATTATTGTCACCCTTACTTGCTTCAGGCCGGTGAAGACACCTTGGAGAATAATCCCACAGCCACTCTATATATTCACGAAGTAGAGAACGAAAAAACAGTTGAATTCCAGAAACCTGAGTCAATTCCCTGGTATGTTAAGGACTTTTTAATGCCATAGCACGACAATTTATTCATATGAGGAACCATACGCTGTTTTAGCGTGTGAGATTCGGAAGTATTACTATTATGATAGTCTCCCCCTACTTAACCTAGTATGAATTTAAAATTTACATATTTATGCCGATGAGTAGTATGAGAAATAAATGCTTCCGTCTAAGAAGCTAAACGACTACCAATGATTAAATTAATTTTAATTTCCAATTAAGTTTGTGAGACTACCAATAGATCACATATATGAGATCTATTCACCCGGCCGTGGAATTTTCCCACAATGACATGAGTATACTCTAGGTAGTCCTTTATC